AGCTCTGACTGCAGCAGCAGAGGCGAGAGCGGACGCAAGGCGATGGACAAAGGCAGTGGAGTTCCCCAGACTTGAGGGACTGCCAGGTGCATACAAGGAAGGGCCAGAAGTACTGGGAAGGGAAGAGCATTTGCCAGGAAATGATTCCAACAATGGGCTTCGGAGAGCTGGAGGAGAGAAGCAGCCAGGAAGTGGCTAATGCACAGAAGAGGGGGTGTGGTGGTGAGGGAGCAACCATAGCCCTGAAGAGCTCCAGTAACTTGCTGTGGGCTTGGGAGGGCGGCACTGAAGAGCAGGGTGACATTCTGCAGTTGGTACATTTTCTAGTAATGATGCTGGAGACATAAGAAGGGGGAAGGAAGGGGCTGGAGAGATGGCTCAGCAGTTAAGAGCGCTTGAGTGATCTTCCAGAGGTCCTGAGTTCAAGTCCCAGAAACCACACGGTGGCTCACAACTGGATGTAAGGAGATCTGATTCCCCATAAATGTGCATGAATACAGAGCGCTCATGTACATAAAATACATGAATGAAGGAGGGGGAGGAGATAGAAGGCCAGACGAGTAAGAAACAACAGGCTGAGGCTGAGCACGACCTCAGAGAAACAGGGACTTCCTGTAAGGCAAGGATCATCCAGGGGAATAGCCCACAGGGAGGTGACAAACGGAAGGTAAATTGGGAGAAAGCGATGCAAAAGTCGGCACCTTCAGCAGATGTCTGCTTCCCAGGACCCCTGGGGCGTGTGGAGTGCCAGGGCGATGTTTATGTTTTCTTAGGAAAGCAGTACCATTCAATTTTTAGACCTCAATTTCAACATTTGTTTACGGTAAATTATCTGCGTACCTTACAAGTTTAGAAAGCTTTTAACTATGATTTTAAAAATTCAAGTCAACTGTGCTTGCTCATACCTGTAATCCCAGCATTTAGGAGGCTAACACAGGAAGATTACTGTGAGTTTAAGGCCAGGTTGAGTCTGAAGCCAGTCTGGGCTACATAGTGTGCGAGGTCCTGTCTCAAACAAATACATATAAGTAAATTAAATAAAAGATTAAAACAAAAGTTCCTTCACTTAAAACTTCAGGTGCCAGGCCTAAAGGTGGCACACACCTTTAATCCCAGTGCTTGGGAGGCAGAGGCAGGCAGCCATCTATGAGCTGGAAGTCAGGCTGGTCTACAAAGTGAGTCCAGGACAGCCAGGGCTACACAGAGACACCCTGTCTCGAAAAACAACGAAACAAACATTTCAGGTAACAAACTTCAACTTGCAGATGACGTCACGCCACCCGTGCCACTCAACGAAGGCACTCAGCAAACACCTACTTGAGTTCCTGTCCAGTCGCAGGCACTTCCCTAGGCTCTGCGGTGGGAATCTTTCTAAAATAAGCCCTCTGCGAGAGTAAGAGCTGAAGACAGGAGACGTCATTCACTGGTGGACGGAAGCCAGGACAGTACCTGAGGAGCTTTGCTCCCGGGTCCGGCTGGTATTCAGGTTTTGTGCTCTAAAACCACAGGTGGGGTGGGTAAGCAAGCAAGATTTGATAGCTTACTGGCGGTCAGCAGGTTTTAAGGGTAACTGCCCAGGGTTTCAGCTATCTTTCCAGGTCACTCTGTTTCAGGTAGCAAGTGAAGTCATGCTTGGCGACTGGGCAGTACAAGCAGTGCTTTAGGTAAATCACTAAATCATCAGGATCTAATAGTTGCTCCTTTCTGCCTTATTCTACTTCAGCCCTGGTGGTGAGTCATATCATCCATCATTAGTGGAAAAGCCAAGAGACAATAAACATGAAAAAATGAAATAATCTCCAGGAGACCGAATATGAACCAGAGAAATAGGGCTGAGTGTGGTGTAATGGGGTCAGTAGGCTTGTAAACAATTTCGCTCCCAGCAGGCATGACTGCTGGCTGTGCACATGGGCATTTTTGTGTACTCTGACTTCTCAGTCCAATATTCCTCCCATTTAACAGCAGGCTAAACATGAGGACGTACACAGCACTGATGCGACTGTTAAGCGGATAAGGGGAAGGAGAAAAGGGGTGGGGAGTGTGAGTTTTAGTACAAGAAATATGATTACAGAATGGACAGCACTGGTCATTTGTAGATTAATCTACTTTCTCAACGGCAAGCCTCTGCCCTGGAAAGCTAAAGCCCCAGAGAAGAGCTCAGTCAAGTTTCAAGGCTGTACCTCCACCTCTACAATGTAACCTCAGCAACAACTAACAAGTTTCAAGGCTGTACCTCCACCTCTACAATGTAACCTCAGCAACAACTAACAAGTTTCAAGGCTGTACCTCCACCTCTACAATGTAACCTCAGCAGCTGGCAGTACCAACAAGTTGTTGTACCACCTTGAGGCAGAGACTTACAACAAGGGTCAACGATGGGTGAGCCCACCGCCTAAGCTGGACTGCTTAGACCTGTGCATGCCTCTTGTCCTCTATATCCTTTATCAGGATTCTGGGGATGGGCTGGAGTTGGGTCACTGGATCTCTGTCTTCTCTGAATATAGCTTCATTTTCTCCATTAAAAACAAAACCAAACCTTTTGGTTTCACTGTTCTGGCTTCTCAAGAACCGGGCATCCTAGGGTAACGCCTGTCGCTCCAAGTTCTGTCACAGTTTCAAATACTCAACATCTAAGAAGTGCTTATGGACATTTGCTCAGGAACTGGACAGAACTTGAGAAGCTGCTCCCGAAGGGTACACTGGTGTGGTCCTGCAGTCCCAGGTGTCTGGAGGCACAGGCAGGAACCGCTTGAGCCTAGGAGCCGAAGACCAGTCTAGGCAGCATGGTGAAAAATAATCTCAAAAGCACAAAGGTCAGTGTGGTGTACATACACCTTTTAGTCCAGCACTTGGGAGGCGGAGGCAGGAAGATGTCCAGTTCCAGACCAGCCTGCAATACACAGAGAGAGAGAGGCTGGCTGCCTCCAAAGAACTTTCTGTAAAAGATGAACCCTTACATGCAGGATCTTCAAATCATCCCAGACTGGCCTCGAATTCATGGCATCCTTCCTGTCCCGACCCCTCAAGCGCTGGGATTTCAGGTGTAAGACAGCACGCCTGGCTTCTAAAAATAAAGCTTGCTTTATTTTATGCCACAGCAGGCGACATTTCATTCGTAACACCAACGTTCCTGCCTCTGCTGCTTTTAACACCCTGAATTCAAGGTCACTCTGTCCTTCCTTAACAGCAATGTCTGACAAAACACAGTTCAGCCCACAAGAGTTCTGGCAAGAAGGAGTTTGGGTCTATTTTATCCTTCTTTGCTTAAACACGAATACAAGCCATACCAATACAAAAACAAACAGCAGGCAAAACACCTTTTCTTTTTCCTTAGGAGAAAGAGGAAAACACGGAACAGATCCCATCTGATACAGACAAAGCGAATCTTTGTCTATTTTCACATTTATACTGGGTTAAATGAAAGCTGGTAATCCAACAGAACCTCACCTATATTTCTGGTTCCAGAGACTACCACATTAAGAACTTTTACACAGCTGGACGTGATGGTGCACGCCTGTAATACCAGCACTCAGGGAGGCAGAGACAGGCTGATCTCTGTGAGTTTGTGGCCACCCTGGTCTACAAAGTGAGTCCAGGACAGCCAAGGCTACACAGAGAAACCCTGTCTCAAAAAAAAAATAAAATAAAATAAAAAAGAGAGACCTTTAATACTAAAGATACTGAGTAATAGGCACTGAACAAATTATATTTTGCACAACAAAAGAAATGGGGTGGGGAGGAATCAATCCCCTCTGTTTTCTCAGCAGTTCGTCCTCTCTGTAACCACTACTTAACCGAATTTGGAGACAGAAACAAGTACTCCGCTTTGAACGACACACACACACACACAAAGTTCTGGGGCAGACACCACTTGAGGCGCCTCATAAAACAACTCATCCAATTCACATAAACCGAGCCGGAGCCTTTATAAAAAACTCTGGTCTAGTTATTTGGTAAGAGGCCGGGAAGGGTGCTTTTTAAATCAAAGTAAAAACATGCTTTGTAAATGCTCTACGTCTTGTCAAATTATGGAACCTATGCTTGGCATCGGTATGAATTCGACTCAAACTTTCTAAGCCTTTGCATTTTAGTCCAGAAGTAACATAAATCTCTTCTCTGTGATTTGCAGACCGCAGGGGTGAGGAAAATGAGATTCTGAGTTTTCTATCACGGAGGCTTACGAATGCGTGTGTGCACATTCGAAGCAGATCTTACCAGGTAAAAGGAAAACACTGGCTTAAACAAGGAAATAAACCAACAAAGGCCCCAACAGATGAAAAATCCTGCAACCTTCCGCCATCTCCCAAAGGTGGAGAGAACCCTGATTCCAGAGCCGGACTCCCGGGAGACCCCGAACGACCCAGAGTCACCAGGGGGCGACGGCAGGGGACTGAGCGCGAGTGGGCTCCTGCGGGTGGCCCCCAGGGAGCTGCAAGATAGGGACCCCCCCTCCTCCACGCAAAGGGATCCAAAGAAAGAGGCTCCTCGGCCGCGGGCCGCGCTCCCCGGGCGGCGCGCCCGGGCCCCT